AGCCATTCTTCCCCCATCCCTGGGCCCTCTCTCGGACCCCTCCAATAGCCAGAGAAGCAGGGAGAGAATTCCCCTTTCCCTTGGTCCTGGACCAGACCTTGCCTAATCTGCCTGTTCTGTGCTTCCCCACGCAGTCCAGCTTGGCCTGTCACAGTCTGTCCCCATGGCGCAATAGGAAGAGTCTGGGTTGGGGGTCAAAGCAGGCTCATTCTGAATCCCTGCTGGGGATCCCCTCCCTGGCTGTAGAACTTGGAGTAAGTTACTTAGCTCAGGCAGTAAATGTGGTAGTATTAACCGTCGTCATGCAGGTAACCTCATTGTGTCTGTAAGAATTCCATTTTTTTTCTCAAGTTGTATGAAAATGTCTCTTCTGAGAGGAAAGAGGGTGGAGGTGGGGTAAGCAAATAGGTGTTGAAGCCTCCCTCACCCCACCTCTCAGCCAGGAGAGTGTGTGACAAGCACCAGTGCCCGTGTGACCTCACAGAGAAGAAGAATTCCCACCTCCTTCCTCACGTCCCTGGAACAATGACTTTTCAATTTTGTAAGCAGCAATCTACTTAAAAAAAAGAAAAACTTACAAAAAAACCTATAATATGTGAAATGATTAAAAGTAGGCTTTTGTATATAGAAACATGCCTATTGAAATTTCTAACAAATGCAATAAGAACAATGAAGCAATTTTGATTAATACAGAAATTTGAAATCAGGGAGGTAGATGACTAATATGATCTTTTTCTTAGAACATGCAGATAAGTAATTGCAAGTGGTATTTTTTTAAAATAGTTCTTCCATTTAAATGATACTGCTCAATTGAAGAGAATAGAGAGAAGGCTTATTATGCCAAAGCTGCCTGAAATATATAGACTAGCATGTATTTGTTCACATGAATAGATGGGAACGAACTTTTAAATTATTGCATTTTTTGAAAGTGCACGTACATTTAAAAAATAAATAAAATGTTAAAACGTCTGAAATACCTCTATAGAATTTGGCAGAAGATTGCTTGAAACATACTCCCTTAGATCTGACAGCACCCAAATCCCAATTTGCTTTCCATTTCCTATTTGGTTGTGGCATGCGTGTGTTGGCTTACGGAGATTAGTACAGTTCTCAGTATAAAAGCTATTTGATGTAAAAACTGGTGAAATCTGAATAAAGTCCTTAGTCTGGGTGAGATTATTATATCTATATCAATCTCTTGATACTGTACTATGCTATGTATAATGTAACCCTTGGAGAAAGTTAGGCGAAGGCTGCATGGGACTCTGTACTGTTTTTTGCAACTTACTCTGAATCTATACTTATTATAGAATGAAAAAATTAAAAAGTCATTTGAATACAACAGTCTTTTACTTAACTGTTAGGAGGTTGTGCAACCAGATTAATAAACCAATGTGCGCACCTCACTTACAGAGTGAATTTTCATTTAGCTTTCCTTGCCACTGAGTTCTATAAACTCCACACTCCGTCAGCTACTGTGGTGCTGCTGAAGTTTTAGAAAGGAAACACAGCCAGTGGCAAATCAAGGAGAGCTCTCTTTCAGGAAATCTATTTTAGCTGCTGCTTAATTACTTAATAAGAAAACGGTGCTGGAACCCAATAGTTGAGTCTGCAGTCACCTGATCCAAAAAAAGTATGTGAATGATGTGGCATATTTTTTAAGCATTCATGTGCTTAAAACATTTAAAGCAATGACAAAGCATGTCAACAATAATGTCATATGTGTCTTGGTGTCCAAATTAGGTGCCTAGAGCCTGGTGTTATAGCGCAGTGTGAAGACTATTGTTCTACAGAAGAAATGATAAGGAGCTACAAATACTTTTTTTTTTGAGACAGAGTCTTGCTTTGTTGCCCAGGCTAGAGTGAGTGCCGTGGCATCAGCCTAGCTCACAGCAACCTCAAACTCCTGGGCTCAAGCAATCCTCCTGCCTCAGCCTCCCGAGTAGCCAGGACTACAGGCATGCGCCACCATGCCCGGCTAATTTTTTCTATATATATTAGTTGGCCAATTAATTTCTTTCTATTTATAGTAGAGACAGGGTCTCGCTCAAGCTGGTTTTGAACTCCTGACCTCGAGCGATCTGCCTGCCTCTGCCTCTCAGAGTGCTAGGATTACAGGTATGAGCCACCACGCCCGGCTAAAAATACTTTTAATAGAGTAAACCTTTGAGCCATTCACTTCCCTGGGTATAAAGTAAAAACAAGCATGGCAGTAGTGAAATACGGTTCTCTGTTCCCCTGGATTTTACAGTGGGCTGCAACTTACTGCCATGTACTTTGGTAAGATTGGTGGTGGTTTTGCTGTTCACCACACGGACAGGTGAAACAATTCCCTGAGCCAGCCTATCTGTCTTCATTGTAATTGCCAAAAAGTTCAGCCTCTAATTAACCTGAAAGAGTGATTGCCTCATGGGTCTTGACTAAAATGGATCTGTGGAATTGGTCACATGGGTCAGCCCTGTGAGGGTGAACTGGGCTCAGAACAACTTCTTTAGTAAATATCTTAATGGATGCTAATGCGTTCCATTTTTTTAAAAATCCATTTATTCAGGAACATAAGATACCAAGACCCTAAGGTCCTTTGCATTAAGTAGGGCTTTAGTTCTGCACCAGTTGCCTTGGCCAACCCCTGACAGGGACTAAGCCTTCAGCTTTCCCCAAATCACTCTGACCAGCTTTTCTGGCTTCTTCCCCAGGGTTATCAACGCTGGGAAGAGCACACACAACGAAGACCAAGCCAGCTGTGAGGTGCTCACTGTGAAGAAGAAAGCAGGGGCCATTACCTCAACCCCAAACAGGAACTCGTCCAAGAGACGGTCTTCCCTTCCCAACGGGGAAGGACTGCAACTAAGGGAGAACTCGGTAAGACCCTCCCCTGTGCTTGGTTCTCAGGTGAGAAGAGCGGCACACACTCTAGCGGCTAGCCCCTCTGCAGAATGTAGGAGCTCAATCCGGGTCTGGAATGCAAGTGAGAAAAGCAGTGTCCCCACAGTTAGGGGGGTGGTGGGCCTGTACTTAGGGTACCATGCCTTCCAAGCTGAAGGTGGTGCATATAGGAAGAGCTGGCATTTGTTTTTAACACTTAATGAAACACCCACACCATATATAGGTTTATGTTGTGAGAATTGGTATAGTGTTTGGTGGTTTCAAAGAAGCCACTCGAGATCTTTGCGAGGAAATAGTCCAGGAGGCTCTCTGAGGGTAGAAATAATGACAGCTGTTGGCTTAGAGCCCCGCTACAACTCTGCCCCTGTCTTCTCCTTCCTGCCCACTCTAGTTGTCCATTTGGAGCCTGTGCCTGCTGCCCTTCCAAATGCATGTGTGTTTCAGTTGGCCCCAAACTAGCGCAGCCCAGGGGGTGGTCCCGCAGACTGAATGCCCTGTCGACAGACCACAAAGTATTTCTCCTCTCTCCAGTGTCTGGAGAATAAAGCAGACATATCCTCAGAAAGTCCTGAAGAAGCACTCAGAAAAGGATAAGGAATAATCAATTCTCCATCTACCAGTGGATAATTTAGTCCTGTGGAGTGGTGTTTACTAGGACAATCAGGAGACATTGAACGGGATGACCCAAATGTGACTATTTATGCTAATAATCTTGAGGGTATTTTTGTATAAAAATTTGTATAGGCTTTTCAAAGATCTAGAAATTTCTTTGTTGTCTAAGAAGTAGTGTCTGATTGCATCTATGCTCAGGGATAATAAGTACTGATTTATTTTGTTAGTACTAGTTCAATTTAGAGTTAGCAAACACAGGGACCTCTGAGGACTCATCAATTGCACCTGTTCTCAGGCTGAAGGAAGTGTTGTTAGGCTTGTCCCAAAGAGCCAGGCGTGAGGACTGGGATGGGCAGTGGAGAATAACAGTGAGTGCACAGGCTCTAGAGCATCTCAGTGGCTTTGTGCAGTCTACTACCATTTAGTAGCTTTTTAATTTTTGGAAAGTTATTTATTCTTTGAGCCTCAGTATTGTCTTCTATAAAAAGAAATAATAACAGTAGTAACTACCAAGTGGTAGAAGGAGACTGGTTGGAAGTATGAAATCCAGTAGTGCATGGAAAATGTTGAGCCAATATCTTAATTAATAAATCCTTAGTAAATGGTAGCGATTATCATCCTGAGATCAGCCTCACTTCTGTCATTCTCTGTGGCTAATGCCCACGGAATTTTGTATGTTCACCCACTTGTGAATTGGAGATTTTACAATTCCTTTTATTCCTACTCAACAATTATTTTGAGGATTAAGTTATTATGGGAAAGGCCTTGCAAAATGTGAGGCCTTAATGATAATTGAATATGGGTGCCAGTGACTTAATGTTGCTCTTTCCCCTGATGTTTCTCCCCTGCCACCAGGGATTTCTGTAAAAATAAGGCACTGTTGACATTTGGCCCAAGGCCACTTGGTGATGATATTTTTCCTTTTTGCTAAGTTCCTCGTAGAAATGGAGCCAGGGCAACTTTTTAACTTCCTGTGCTTAAGAACAGTGAAACCAGTACATAAGCACTTCAGGACGGAGCCAGGACACTCCCCGGTAGTGGTTCCCAATCTCTGTGGGGTTCATCCTTGGGGGGCGGGGCAGCAACGGGGGGCCCCACAGTTGGACACACCCTGGCCCTCCGCTCCGTTTCCTGCTCCCTCAGCGACTTCTCTTCTAGCCGCCTGACCGATTAGGCAAGAGCTGTGCTGCTTTTTCTTTTTTTTTTTTTTAATTGTGGTAAAACATACATAAAACTTACCATTTTAACCATTTTTAGGTATACAGTTCTTTGGCATGAAGTACATTCACACATTTGCGCAGCCATCACCATCCATCTCCAGAACTTTTTCATATCATATCCTCCAACCGAAGTTCTGTGTTCATTAAACATTCACTCCCCGTTCTTCCCTCCCCTCAGCCCTTGGCCACCACCAGTCTATTCTCTGTCTCTATGAATTGACCACTCTAGTGTTTCATATAAATAGAATCATATTAATACAATATTTGTCTTTGTGTGTCTGGCTTATTTCACTCAGCATAATGTCTTGAAGGTTTATCCATGTTGGGTGTGTCAGAATTTCCTTCCTTCCTTAAGGCCGAATGATTTCCCATCTTATAGACCACATTGTATTTATCCATTCGTCTGTTAATGGACACTTGAATGGCTTACCTTTGGCTGTTCTGAATAATGCTGTAATAAACATAGGTGTACAAATATCTCTTTGAGTTCCCCCTTTCCATTCTTTTGGATATATGCCTAGAGGTGGAATTGCTGGGTCATATGGTAATTCATGTAATCTTTTGAGGAACTACTACACTGGCTCCAAAATGGCGAAACCATTTTGCATTCCTACCAACAATGTAGAAGGGTTCCGATTTCTCCACATCCTTGCTAACACTTCCTGATTTATGTTGTGGTCTTTTTGGGGGCTGGGGGGTTGATAGTAGCCATCTAATGGGTGTGAAGCAGTATTTTATTGTAGTTTTGGTTTGCATTTCCCTAATGATTAACGATGTTGAGCATTTTTTCATGTGTTTATTGGCCCTTTGTGTGTGTTCTTTGGTGAAATGTCCATTCAAGTCCTTTGCCCATTTTTAAATTGAATTGTCTGTTTTAGTGTTGTTGTTTTGGCTGCTTTTTAAGAACTTGAAAACCATGACCTAGTGTGGGAGATCAAGCGCTGAGGACCTGTTGTGTACCAGGAACTAAATACTAAGGATTTGGCAAAGAATAAAACAGGCCACAACCTTGCCCACAGGGAGCTTACATTCATGCAGGGGTGGAGGGAATTAGAATGTATATTGTGCCAGATGATAAACACTGGGGAGAAAAAACAAAGTGGGGAAGCTGGAATATAGGAGGTGCGAGGTGCCAGGTGGTTAGAAAAGGCATCGCTGAGATGACCCTTGGGCAAGGACAGCTATTTGGAGGAAGAGCATTTTAACATTCTGGGCAATTGCCAAAGCCCTGAGGTGGCCCCTGTCTCAAGAATTAGTGAGGAGGCCCTTGTGGTTGGAGCAGTAATGTAGTAAAGCCTGGATTGTGGAAAATGTTACCCAAAAAATGGTGAGAGTGGGGTGAGGCAGTCTGGCAGGACCTTGAAGACTGTTTTCAGGACTTTGGTTTCTACTTGGAATGAATAATGTATTAGCAGAGGACACTGGGCAGCTGGTTAAAAGAGGCCAATGATTTTTCCCACCTAGAAGGTATCACCTTAACAGTAAAACTCAAACATATTAGCACTTAGGAAAGGGTAGTGGGAGTACAGGGCCTAGGGCAAGAAAACATCTGCGGAGGCAAGTGGGGTGGACTCTACCCCTTTCCTCGTGAATCGGCTCCTTCACCGGCCAAACATATATGGAGCCCTGAGTCTGGGGGTAAGAAGATGAACGTGGTGGAGTCCCAGCACCAGAGCTGAACGGAGGAGGCAGGGTCATTAGCTCTGGCACTGCAACACAGTGAGGTTTCGGAAACAGACACAAATCCCAGGTTGTGTGGGAGCCAAACTTAGAGGGGCCACTGTGGTTTGGGGAACAACCGAGGAGGGAGACAGGTGAAGTCAGGAAAGGTTTCCTGGAGAAAGTAACATTCAAGCTGGGGTCTTGAAAATTTGAATAGGAGTGATCCAAGCAAATAAGAGAAAAGGGAGTTTCTGATAGAAGGAGCACACGTAGACAGAGACAGGTTGGCATGAGAGCCGAGGAGGCCTGACTTCTGGCGTTTGGGAGCACATGTGGTCACTTAGAGGGTGGTAAGATAGGAACAGCAAGCGGGCATCACACACAAAGGTCATCAAATGCCATAATAAGCTGGGATTTTAACCAAATGATTTTAGAAAAGGGCATGATGACTCAAGACAGTGACAGCAGCAGGGAGGCTGACTTGGGAAGGCTGAGACTCCAGTTAGGAAGCCCACACAGAAATCTGGGGGAGAAATGATGAGGGCTTAAAATAAGGTGCCGATTAGCACAAGGGACAGGCTCAAAAGAGATGGTGTGAGTGATGCAATTGAGATGACCAGATGACAGACCGCTTGGGGCTGGGAGCAGTAGAGGTTGCCGGGCTTCAGCCACCAGGTGCTGGTCAGGGGAAAGTGGACCATTGGAAGGTAAGGGGTGGGCAGAGATGGTGACTTGAATTTTGACTATGTTGATTCTACCTTTCCAGGTGAATGTGTTTTGTAGGAAATTAAAAATGAGAGTTTGGTGCTCACAAGCAAATCCAGGGAGGTTTAGATTTTAGGAGTTACAAGTGTAAAGATTATAAGTTGAAGCAATAGATGTAGTTTAGATCACCCAGAAAGTATAAAAGCGAGAAGATAAGAGTGCAGAGGAGAAACCTGATGACAATGGGGTTCCAGAAGCTCCAAGAGAGTGGAGCTGTAAGGAGGGAAGGTAACTGTTCCATGGGCTACAGAGAAGTCAAGAAAGACAAGGCTGCAAAAAATGGGCAAACATTATTGTAAGCAAAAAAATGGAACAATAGGTTAAACAGTGGCATCGTTATTTCATCTGTGAATAGTTGACAGGCATGAAGGATGGCAGCCTGAAGATGCAGGGGCTCCCTCTGGCTTCCCTGCACTTAATTTCTCTTTCTCTCTTGATCTCTCCCTCCCCAGTAAATGTAGTGAAGTCAAAATGTGTTTCCACAAGACTTCTTGCATGCATAATATCACCTTCATCTTCCTTAGAGATTGAAGAAAACCTAATTTTTTTTTTGTAAAATAACATGAAATTCATGAGAAAAGGAATGATCATAGGAATTTTTTGTTAGAAACATCAGTGGTGTGCTGAGGAATTAGAAGTGTGACTTTACACTTGACCTATTTTACACTGAGTGGCGCTGGCGTAGCTGGGTAGCAGCAAGATGACTTTTTCTACTACAGATAATTATTAATTGGTGTAAAGATTTCAAGGCAACCTTAAGCCATCCCTCATGCCAGTGTATAGAGAGTTATTGTATCCTATTAATACACATCTTTCAGCCAAAGAAGTCAACTTAAGCCTCCTATTTTTAAAAATTTTTTTCGTGGATAAAATAACATTATATTCTGCCTCCTCTGGCTTCCGTGAGGCATTTAGTGAAGGAATATCATTTCCTGGGTTTGGCTGAGCTCTGGGCAGTGGCGCCTTACTTATAAGAAAGAAAACACAAATTAATTTCAGTAAAGTAAAAAGTCAGGGGCTACAGAAACAATGTTTGAAAGAAGTCATAAAACTTTAAAGGGATACAAATTTAAAGTGTTCTTCCCTGTAGTATTTTAGCCTGAAGAAATGCAAAGGGAATGTGGTTGAATTATTCTCTTCTCTTTTACATATGCTCTGCAATGGATATAGGTTTGGTTTTGTTCGTTGATTAAGAGTTTAGTGATATAATGCAGAATACATAATAAATATTTCTTTTTTTGAGGGATAAGGAAGAGACATTTTGAGGTCTCCGATGAAGTCGATATAAAGTACAGTAGAGAAGGATATTCTCAATGACAGGTGAAGTGTGGAACTTGTCTTGTGCCTGGATCACTTTTGGGTAGTTTGAATGTGAAGACCCACAAAAGCCCAGGGTCTGGCAGATACGAAATAGATACTCCATGATAGTGTGCAAGCCGTTTAACATTCCTGTGCCTCTGATTGTCTGGGAACATAGGTTGGGTGACCAGGAAAAGAAGGAAATCTAAAAAGCTAGCATTTTCAAAAGACACTTTCATAAGATTGTCCCTTAGGAAAGATGCCATAAGCTTGTTGAGAACAATACCTTGTCCCCAACAGCTTCCTGTCTCCCACGGAAGCCTTTTTAATAACCAGACCAAGATTTATGGGAAGTAATCACCATTACTAGGATTTCTTTGATTTGAAAGGTTATAAGGAGTCTTATCACACTGACTGCCATCTGCAGGTGAAAATACAGCTTTTCCAAGAGATTTTGCTTTTCAGTTCCCAAGTATTTAGTCACTCTAGGAATGAGATAAAAGGAGGAAGATACCAGGTCACTTATCTGAGGATGGAAAAGAATTTACTCCTAAGGGCATCTTGTAACTTTACTATGAAGATAAGAAGTGCATGTCCTTATGTAAGATGGGTAAGTGGGGAATAGTCAGGGTATTGTGGCCATAACTAGGACATTTTTCTCCCCACATCTGATTCTCTATTTGGAACAGATTGTTTTTGGCTTGAGACTAGACTTACAGACACATGCATTCCAAGTCTTATTTCCTTAGGAGCACCCTTGTGTTGTTTAATTTAGTCAAAACACATCAAAGTGTGTGGTTTCGGTATCTGTTAGTTCAGTGTCTAATTACAATAACAGGAGACGGCTGTGTCAGCATCTCAGCCAAGTTCATCAGCAGGGGAGAGGAAAGCTGATTATCTTTCTCAGCAGAGGATGGGGCAGCACTGTGGGAATTCAAGGCAAATAGGATAAAATTGGGGCGGGGAGAGGGAAAAAGGAAATGAGAAAGGGGCTATTTCAACTCTCCGAACTGAAGATTTGCCATTCTTTTCATCTGTTTTCTGTAAAAAGGACTCTTTCACCCCCAGAACATTAAATGAAGGTAGCTTCTGGTTCCACAATGGCCCTTTGGAGTATTTGGCCATCTGACAGTCTGCTTCCTGCAATGACGTCAGCTATAAAGTGCAATAGGAGCAGCCCTTTATTCATCTCATTGTGTTTACTACCCTGAGTTTGTCATACACATTTGAAGAAAATGCAAACTACCTACTTAGACTTTTTGAAGAAGCAGGGGCAATGGTTTCTTTCAAAACTTGTATTCCCTTAGTTCTAGGGACATAGAACTCTTGCCAGTGATCAAGAAGGACGACGTCACAACCAGGAATTGAGGAGGCAGATATAAGCTAGAGTAACTTTAAAGTTCCCTTCTTGTGGGTGTTGGATTACTCGGAAGACCAGGTTTGACCAAGATGTTTGTCATAGCTGAGAACACAGCTAAAACTTGGTTCCACAATAGATTTTTCCACTGTGGCAAATTTTAAGGTGAAAGGAAAATAAATCGTGTTGAGATGGAAATTTCTTCTTGCTTCCCTTGTAATCTGACTTCCCACAGCTTTAGGTGGGAAGAACATTGGCAAAGACAATAAACTCTTAAGATGTTCTATTCTTTTTTCATTTCTTCTTTTAAAAAATTTAACACTCGGCAGTTATGTGTCAGACAAAGATCTTAGTGCTTAGTGACATCATTAATTCATCTAACTTCGTGCAGGTTGAGTATCGCTTATCCCAAATGCATGGGACCAGAAGTGTTTTTCAAATTTTGGAATATTTGTGTATGCTTAATGGGATATCGTGTGGCTAGGACCCAAGCCTAAACACTAGCTTTGCTTGTGTTTCATATATACCTTGTACACATAGCCTGAAGGTAATTCTATTTTTCCTTTGAGGTTGCCGCATAAGCTATGTTTGCGTGCCTGCATTTTGACTACAACTCATTACATGAAGTCCAGGCTGAAATTTTCCACTTGTGGCCTTATGCCAGTGCTCAAAACGTTTCATATTTCAGAGCATTTCAAATTTCAGATTTTTGGATTAGGGATGCCCAACCTGTAATATATAGGTAAATATGTATTGTTATTATCTTTATTTTACTGGTGAAGAAATAGGCACAGAGATAGAAAGTGTGGAGCTCGCTTCAAGCCAGGCAGTCTGGCCTCAGCCTTATAACATGCTGCCTCTTTATCCATGAGCAGTTGAGAAATGTAGCAGGAAAACCTCTTTGGAACAGTCAGAAATAAAGGAAGAATAACTCCTAATGTTGACATGTATAATTTCAATACAATTTGATATTAAATATTTTCTCATTTCCATTATGATTTCTCTTTTGATATAGGAATGAATTAGCAATTTCCCCTGTCAACTCAGAAACTGGATAACAGCCCTTACTGACTCAGATGAAGAATAGAACTGAAATGAAATTGTCATCATCTTGTCCTTGTCCATTTTTCTTGCTAAAGTATAGCAAGATCATCATTTGCATAAGGCATGGCAAGAAGAAAAAGCCCTGTGATTGAATAATAATGAGTATCTGAGTTTGAATCCGGGCTCTGTATTTACCAGATGTAACCTTGTACAGGTTACATGACCTCTCCATACCTCAGTTTCCTCATCTGTAAATTGGGGGTAATAGTTCCTACCTCATAGGGTTGTTAGAATTAAATGAGTTAAAAATGTGAAAAGTGCTTAGAAGAGTGCCTTGCACATGATAAGTGCGCAATATTATCTGTTGTTGTTATTCTGATAGTGGAGTTTGTAGCTGCATTTCAATATTATTTCATGGTACTTACATGTTTTCTGTAAACTAATTTAGGGAGAAGTTATTGATATATAAAGCAATAGTTTGAGAACATTCCTGAGGTAATTTACAAGTCTAGACTAAACCACAACACAATTTAGCCAACACTGTTGCAAACTTTATACTTCCTCTTATAAAGTGATTTAATATTTATTTAATAGTGTTTTAAAATCTGGGTCTACATTGCCATTTAAAAACAAAAACCAAACGTACTAAACTTATCCTACATCTTATTGCCTCATAATGTTGGAAGGATTGAATCAAAGAAATCTGCATTTGGTGTTGCCGTATCCTGAGAAGGAAGTGGCATATTCACTAAGGTATATGAAATTAGGAGTACCCCCAGCACTGGAGAGTAGAGTATCTCAATATGCAAATTATTATTTAAATGATTTAATCAAGAAGAGAGGCAGGGTGAAAAGCAAACTGTGCTGTGGGGCCGTGGTCCCCAGAGGACAGCAGTAGGACACGGGCCGTAGGAAGGACGTTTATGAAGTCACTGGAGTTTTCCCTCACCTCTGCCTCCTCATGGGCTCATCCTTCTCCTCTCGCTGTTACTCTGAGGATCAGACACAAAACTGGGGATGGAACGCACTGTGCAGGGAATGCCTAAAACAGACACTCTGACTCCCTGTTGTCATCCGCACCGTGACACCTTGAAAACTAGCCAGAAACTTTATAGAAATCAAAACACGTAGCGTAGAGTGAGGAATCAGAAGAATACGGCCACCCTATTTCCCCAGTGGGAAATGATTGATCTCATTTCTTTGGTGGTGGAGCACGGGATTAAGTGCATTCCCTGCTCATCC